TTCTTTCTTTCTTTCTTTCTTTCTTTCTTTCTTTCCTTCCTTCCTTCCTTCCTTCCTTCCTTCCTTCCTTCCTTCCTTCCTTCCTTCCTTCCTTTCTGTCAGGGTCTCACTCTCACTCTGTTGCCTAGGCTAGTGTGCAGTGGTGTCATCAAAGTTGACTGCAACCTCAAACTCCTGGGCTCAAGCAATCCTCCAGCCTCACCTCCAGGTATGCACCAACACACCTGGCTAATTTTTAAATTTTTTGTAGAGACGGGGTCTTGCCATATTGCTCATGCTGGTCTTGAACTCCTGGCCTCAAGTGATCCTCCCACCTCGGCCTCTCAAAGTGCTAGGATTACAGTATGAGCCACTGTGCTAGGCATGTGTTAGATTTAGCTTATTAAGTATGAAATATCTGATTTCGTTAGGTTTGACAGTTGATATCTCATTTTACTTTGACACTTCTTGTTTTATTTTTTATTGTGAAGGTACATCCTCATTCTTTCAAATGCATGGTTTGGCTTGTGATTATCTGTCAAATTTTTTTAGAGTAATTTTTGTGAAACCATGGATAAGTCAAAAATTCGTGTTATTTTCAAATATGAGTTCTGTCGTGGAAGCAATGCAGCACAGATAGCTCAAAATATCAACGAAGTGTTTGGGAAGGATGTGGCTAATGAACACACAGTATGTTGATGGTTTGAGAAATTCTGTTTTGGTGATATTGATCTTGAAAATGAGCCACGTGGGTGACCTGAGACCAAGGTGGATAATGATGAGCTGAAAGCTGTAGTGGAAGCAAATCCATCTCAACCTATGTGTGAATAGCAGCAAAGTTTGGTGTTACTATTCCTATAATATTGGACCATTTGAAACAAATCGGCAAGGTAAAGAAGCTGGATAGAAGGGTACTGCATGAATTAAACGAGTGTCAGAAGAGAAATCATGTCAAAGCTTGCCTTTCTTTGCTATCATGACACAAAGGTGAACTCTTTTTATACTGTATTGTTATGGTGTGATGAAAAATGAATTCTTTTTGACAATTGCAAGCGTTTGGCACAATGGTTGGATAGAGACGAAGTGCCAAAACATAGTCCAAAACCGAATGTTCATCAAAAAAAGCTAATGGTGTCTGTTTGGTGGTTCAGTGCTGGTATTATCCACTACAGCTTCATGAAACTTGGTCAGTTGATTACAGACAATATCTGCTACAACCAATTGGACAAAATGATGAGGATGTTTGTGATTACGTAGCCGAGACTGGTCAACAAAGACAGGCCAATCCTCTTGCAAGACAACACTGGACCACATGTTGCACAAACAATGCTGCTCAAACTATAGCAGCTGGACTTGGAAACTCTCTGTCATCCACCATACTCACTAGACCTTGCACCAACTGACTACCATTTCTTAGAGGCTTTGGACCACTTCTTGCAGGAAAAATATTCAGTTCCTATCAAGCTATGGAAAACGCCTGTCATTATTTCATTGCCTCTTGCTCTCCAGGCTTCTTTGCTGCTGGCGTAAACAAGCCACTGTTAAGATGGCAAAACTATGGCGATAGTTTAGGCGCTGACTTTGATTAATTGCACTGCTTCTTGTTTGAGATATAAACTAAACTTTTGATTTGAAACTGGATATTTCATATTTAATGACCAATATTTCTGACAAATAAGAAGGAACAGATATTTTTTCCATAATCCTTTAAAGGACAGAGAAGCTGAAGCACAATGGATTTAAGGACCTCCCATCATCCTAAAGCCACTCAGAAGTGAGACGTGTGCTCAAGTCTAGCGGATGCTACAGTGTGTGAGGGAGGCCCACCGTGACCGAGGTGGCCACTTCAGAAGTCACAATGTGCGCAGAAGGATCAGGAGCCACACATGCATAGGAGGCTAGAGGGTTTTCCTACTTTTTAATTATCTCCCTGTTGACTACTTTAATACTTCTCAAAGGTTCATCTGTGTATGCAGGTTGCTTTCAGGTGGTAGATGGATGGAAGTTTTTAATAGTTACTTATTTTAATGTGCATCAGGGGAAAACCCTGTAACTAGCAGGTCAAAAGCCTGGTTTCATACTTCACAGATATTTTTTCACAGAACAATAAAGGATTTGTGTTTCCTGAAGGTGGGGGGGGGGGCACGAAGAAGGACACATTGACCAAAGTGATAAGGAACACACAGGTGAGGGGCACCAGCTTCACCGAGAAGCTCAGTGGTAGCTCTGGAGGCCAGGTACTGCCGAAGGCGGCTCCCTGATGGCCGTGGGCACAGAAGAATAGAGACCGACCCAGTGGCAGTGCTGCACTACCAGGAGCAAAGTGGACATGATAACCATGAGTGGCCAGGTCTGAAGGACACCTGCAGAGAGCTTTGGAGATGGTTAATGGAACATGGCATCTCTGGAGGCAAAATAGATAGCAAACAGTGAGTTACTGTTCAAGCTGTACCATCAACAGATCTTAAGGATGGATGACTGGGAGATGGGGCACAGCTACCATAATAAAAGGTTATGATCTTTTGCCAAGTTTCCAGACCTTTGCTCTTTTTCAAACCCAGAAACTACTGACTGGAGGAAAGGCTGAATCCCCAAGAAGAAGGTCTTTGAAACACCACTGCAGGTATAGATGGCAGTGATGCCCCTGTAGTTATTTACTTGTATAACTGGACACTGGGGAAGGAAATACACAAACATCCTGAGGACCATGGAACACAAGGTCCAAGTTGACATTGAAACTCAGGGCCAGAGTATCATTATAAGCCATCTTTAGAGTGAGGCATATGGGATTCAGATACTATATGGAGTTCTTCCCCAGGTCTTCCTCACAGTAGGTCTGTTGAATTTATGGGTCTACTCAATGATCATCTCCCCACTTTCAGAATAAATAATTGGGCTGAACATACTTGGGAGTTGGCAGAAGCACTATTTGTTTCTTGGCCTGTGTGTTAAAAACTATCTTAATAAGAAAGCCAAGTGGAAGCCTCTGAAATCGCCCCAAACCCTGGCCAAGATAGTAACCCAAAATCCATATTCCACCCCTGAGGAATGCAGAGATTAGTGGTACCCTTGAAGATTTAAATGATATGGGGATATTGATCTTATCTTAATTCCACTTAATTCACTATGACTCCTATAAAAACTAGACACTCGAGGGTGAAAGTGGACTATTGAAAACTCAAGCAAGTAGTAACCCTGATTGCAGCTGCTATACCAGATGTGGGATCTTGGCTAGAATAGATTAAGACAGTCTCAACTATGTGGTATGTGGCCATTGATCTGACAAATGTGTTCTTTCCATACCCATCAGAAAAGTAGATCAGAAACTATTCAGTTGGGATGGACAGGAGTACATATGGTGGGTATAAATATACATATATTTACATTGCTCCAGAGCTATGTAAACTCTCCCACCCTCTATTATAGCCCAAAGGGACTTGGACCATCAGTACAGTCTGCAGAATATCATATTGGTTCTCCATATCAATGACATTAGATCGGATGAGTACAGTGGCAGATGCATGGGAGGTCTTGGCAAAGGATGTACTTCTGACTTGCT